TCTCTCTCTCTCTCTCTCTCTCTCTCTCTTATATATACACGCCCACCCTTCACTGATTGGCCGACTTCTTCGCCGCATGCCTGTCCTCATTCACTTCCGCCTTTTCTCTATATAAACGCGTGTTGGCTCTCTGTCAGGCTTTGGTACTCAGCGCATACACGAGACGCTCCGCATTATAAGGCGTGCTGTCCACTTTGGAGAAAAATTTAGACTTTTAATGGCGCCTTATAGGTGTGAAAATACGGTATTTTTTCCGGAATTTTCATAAAAGTCCACTTTCATCTCTGATTATATGAATCCTGAACGATGTTATCCAAAAAAATAAAATAAAATTTTGGTCTGATCTCTCAGCCATTGGACATGCACTATTTTCATTTTGTGAACAGGTGACATGTGAGAACAGTCTTAAAACAGTTTATTCTCTTTCCAGGGTTTTTTTGTCATCCACCTTCATTCTGGGCCAGTCATCAATACCCTGCCTCCCATCATGGACCCCGACCCTCTGTTGGCATGCGACATGATGGACGGCCGCGATTCCTTCCTGACTCTGGCGCGAGACAAGCACTGGGAGTTCAGCTCGTTGCGGAGATGCAAGTGGAGCACCATGTGCATGTTGGTGGAGCTACACAACCAGGGCCAGGACCGCTTTGTGTACACATGCAATGAGTGCAAGCACCACGTGGAGACTCGCTGGCACTGCACCATCTGTGAGGTAGGCAGCAGAAAGGTTGCAAATTAGATTTCAACTCAGGTTGAATGTGCACTAATCTACAGCGCAAATTCACTTATTTGCAATTTTCCCAGCAACGGCCGCAGCAGCAGCCAGCCCCCAACACTCAGCCCGCAGGGCAAACCGGGGCACCAGTCATCCCCGCCACATCAGGAGCAGTCGCCTCTGCCCAGTTTGCCGCTACAGCAGCAGCAACAGATGCCGCTACAGCAGCAGCAGCCCAACTCGGGAACGACCTCCAAGCGGTGTTGGGCGACCCTCGACGGGGCGCCCCCGGCCGCGGGCCGCGTTCTCCGGAACCGGTCCCCCGAAAACGAAAAACCTGCGGAGGGGGTTGCGGTGCGGGGTCGGGAGACATTGAATCCCCCGCTCCCCGCCGGAGGCGGCGAGAGAGTTGAGGACCCGGCGGCTGGGTGTTAGGTTCCTAGGTCGGCCGGGTCGCGATGGCGTGCCTTCGGGCTACGTACAGTTCCCAGTCAATAGCCGGCAACTGGGTCTGCAGGTTTCCGGGTTGCTGCGGCCTTCAGAGCCCCTTTGGGACCCAGTTGGAGGTTGCTCAACAGCAACAGCAGCAGCAGCAGAATATCCCACGTGCGATGCCCGGTAACATCACACCCAACGCCTTGCAGGAGCTACTCCGCACCCTCAAGTCTCCCAGTTCGCCCCCGCAGCAGCAGCAGGTTTTGAACATCCTCAAGTCCAACCCGCAGCTCATGGCCACCTTCATCAAGCTAAAGTACCAAGCCAACCAGCCGCTGCAACATCAGCAGCAGCAGGACCCTCAAACAATGGCAGGGTTTGCGGCCGCGATGCAGGCCATGATGCAGGCACAGAGGACTGGTATCGGTACGCGCTTAACTTTTTTCCGAATCAGCTTCTTATTACTGTCTACGACGTGACTCTCTTCTCATTCATTCCAGCAGCTTCACTTCTCTTTAAACTGTGTGGACGCTGAGCGTCTACAGCGCGGACGCTAGGCGTCTCGGGAGTTCATGTAGGTTGTCCCAATGCATTGAAACAAGACGAGTCATTGGATAAATGCTGGTTTTGTCCCGCCCATCGAACGCTCTGCGTCTCTGGGAGTCTATGGTCAGTGGGCGTTTATGGGCGAGCCCGGACGCTGAGCTTTTCTGCATGATGATTGGATGATCTAGGAGGCTGAATCTCTTTTAGATTGACAGCAAAATGAGCCAATCACCCATCTTTTGGTGTGGCCATGGTGGGAGCATTTTTAAATTCTCATTCTGTTCTGAGTTGAACTGGAGACTTCTTCTAATCATCTGAGCGACACTCTCTTTGTTGAAAACGACTAGCGACAAATTAATCTTTCATTTCTGGTGGATTTTATTGTAGTTGCTGTAGTTGTAGGACACGAGTTAAGTCCCTGGAAAAGACGCCTTGTTGGTATGACAGGGTCGCAGATAATTGTCTTGAAAATGAACGGAGAGGAGAATCCACGTATAAATAAACGGACACATTTTATGATGTAGGCCGAAATTGAGCTTCCCCTCCTTGACAGACCAGCATCCGCCACTGATACAAATCTACACTTTCACTTGACAACTTCACACTAGTTTTAAAAGAATAACCTAGTCTTCAACCCATGATTTAAAACCGTAACACAGATGAGTTAAGAAGATTAGCCATTTAATAAATTAAATCCCTTTAAATGTAATGACATCGGGGGAAATCACTGCCTTTCCAATTGACTACTGTGACCTTGAAGATAAATTACCATACTGTATTAGATTAGTGTTAATAATCCATTTAAAATGCTGCATAAAATTTGCATAAATAAATCATTCCAGCAATTACAAATGGTCACTCACAAACAAAGGGATTGAGGATTTCACATCCTTGTTTTTTTTGTTTTTTTTCCGCTATTTGTGAACAGCCAGTGTGTTTGACATCTTCCGCCATGAGGACCCGGTGTGGGGTCCTTCAGCAGCTAATGCTGTTTGTTCAGCGTGTTGTGAGACAGTAGCACCTCGTGATGGGTCCATGAGGCCTCATGAGGCATGTCGACACAACGACACACTGTGTTGATACTGTGCTGATACTGTGTCGCTGACCACTGCCACCTGCTGGACCTTCAAAATCCCTGTAGCCAACCCACTTGACAGACTGAACTGACTGATTTGATGATGAAGTGTATACAATGCACTACCTCACTTTACCCACAATAGCCACAAGTGCCATTATTTATGTTGTTGTTTATGCTGTTTATATTGTCTATACTGTTCAGATTACATTTTATGTCTTTTTATACAGTGTAGCTGCTATCCTTTCTTAGCTGTGTATGTTTAATGCACAGCATATTTGCACTGAGGATTGAGAGGAAGAAATTTCATCTATGCTGCATGTCATACATAAAGCATATTTGACAATAAAGATGACCTTGACCCTTGACAATATCATTCACATCCATGCATTCATATTGTATCATTCAATGTGTTTCAATAATGTGAAAATCATGTGAATGAGGATGCTTGTGGGCTTTGTATTCACAAATTTTTATTTAGAAAAATAAGATGCTCCAGTGTTTCGAATTTCAGTCTGTTGCGTTTCTTGCATGCTATTTCCCCTGCTGTGGAGAACACACACAATGGAATAAACATGTCAAAAATCCGAGAGGCACTTGGTGAGACAATGAGATTTTAATAATAAATACCTTATTCTCCAAAAGGAGATCAAAACACGGCGGACAATTTGCGTTTGTCCGGAAGCTGCTCCATATTATTATTAATACGCACGTACTGTAGCAACGTCACTCGAGTGAAGCCCGTCTCAGCAGTCGATAGTCCGCTTGTATGGAGCAATTCGGATTTGGTGATTTCTTTTGTAAAATTGTTAAGACTATGTATGCCAATGGCAATAGCTCCATCAAACTGATGCATCCAAGCCTCGAGGGATCATTCTCCAATTCACATCGCGAATCTTCCGAGACGCTGTGTGGAAGGCTGCAAAAAAATCCAGTTTTCTTCAAAGCAACAACATGCGCTTCGCTGAGGATTTGTCACCATCTACAAGGGAGAGAAGAAAGCTACTCTGGTCGCTGGTGGCGAAGGCGCGCGAGGAAGGAAAAACGGCGTACTACATCGGTGATCGAGCCTTTGCCAACGGGACCGAACTGCTTCCCTATCTCAACAAATGCGAACTGTTCCCTATCCATGACCGGAATGAGACTTCGATCTGCAACATCCCAGTTAAAGAAAAAGTTACCTATCTAGGGATTACCATTATGAAAAATGAGGCCATGCGATGTACAGTGAATTTTGACCCAATTATTAATAAAACCCAAACTAAGCTTAACCAGTGGCTAGGTAGAGATCTTTCTTTAAAAGGACGTATGCTACTAACCAAAGCGGAAGGACTGACACGTCTTACGTACGCAGCAATTGCTTTGTCTGTGAATGAGAAAATTTGTAAGAATATCAATAAGATGCTTTTCGACTTCTTGTGGAGGAACAAGACTCACTATGTGAAAAGGTCTGTTGTAATGAATACCTACGAAACTGGTGGATTGAACTTCCTGGACTTCTCTACCCTCAATAATACGTTTAAAATCAATTGGATCAAACAATTTTTGGGTAATCCCTCATCGATTTGGAACTTTATACCTAACT